TACTGTACATATATGGAATCATTCTTTTTATTAATATTTCAATTAAATACGCTTATAGCCTTAAATTTAGTAATAAATTAAACTGTTAACCTTCTATTATTTACAGCTATAGATACAAGGGCTTATCATGTCAAAAAAGCCGCCATAATAGGCATAGCCGATCGGCCGGATGGACGAGCGGTCAAGGTGGCAGCCTACCACTCTGGAGACCCGGAATCGAGTCCGGACGGGTCAAAAAATCTCCAGAAATTCTTCGGGGATGGTCCGTCCGGATATGTCGGGTCCCATCCCTCACCACCCGGCCGCCCTATTGTGGGCCTGACAGAACCCATAATAGGCTTCCTATAAGAGGCCCTGTTAGTGCCCATCGGGCTGGAACTGTCTTAAGCCTGGATTCATAAAAGCGTCTTAGCGCAACTTAAGATGAATATTTGTCTTAAGTTGAGATACGACAAAATTTTGTTTTTACAAAACTCGTCTTAGGCTGTGTACACACTAGGCGTTTTTAAACGCGCGTTTTAAAGAACCAAGAGTTCTGCATAGGCATACATACTCAAACGCGCGCTTTTGGCCAAACGCATATTGATAGATTTTTGTTAAAACGCGCGTTTTGCGAACGTCAGCCAAGCGCTTTGAGATATATGTGTTGTCATGTTGTACATTCGATCGCGCGCATTCGGGTAGAGTGGACGTACGTTGGCTGAAATGGAGAACGATCATTTCGATACTGATCTATTTATTGATGACATCTAAAGGAGACCAACCATCGTCAAATGATTTTATAGATATTTTAAAAGAATTAAAAAACTTGGGTTCATTTTGTCTTAGTTTTGAATACAACGTCGCAAACATTACATGTGTCAGTCTATCTCGTAATATTGGGTGCACCCAAAATTCTATTTGCCTCTGCCATCGTCTTTTATAGCGACGATGGAGGAGGCGCACATAAGCAATTACTTTCACGTCCATTTCCAAACTGAGCCAGTGCGTATGATCTACTAAACGGTCATATCTCATATCTCACAGAGGAGTGTTATAGCTATGCGCTTTTCACTCCGGAAGAAACAGTAAGGAAGAGTCGGTCTTATAGAAGACGACCAATCCGAGGAAGACAGGATAGAGGTCACTAAGTAACCAAAGCCGGTCTTATAAGAGACGACCCCCGCGAGAGAGGGAGACAGAATGCCTTCCGGGAGGACTTGGAGGGAAAGCTTGCCCCTATTCAGGCGTCATTGGCAAGGAGGAAAACCCGGAAAAAACTCCCGCTGCCAGCTCGTCCGAGTGAGGCGCGAACCCCCGATCGAACTCCGGTGTTTAGGGTCTGGTCACCACTAACAAGTGGAGACGGAGTCCACTCGGCCACCGGTGGGTCTAGTTTAAAGTCCTTGGAATGCAACAGTTAAATCTCGTTAAATCTCGAACACGCGTGCCACCTTCACATTTCTCAACAATCTCTTTTTTT